GTGTTGAACCGAAGGCCCCAGCTAGCATCCGAAGACATTGTGCCTGCAGTGAATGAAGCCGGTCGACGAGAGCTTGCGTGAGATGATACTTCATCATGTGGTTGTCGCTAAAGAGGAACCATGCCGCACAGCCATAGGAGATGATCGACCTGACACTAGTGAGATATATCTTCCTCATCTGATGAAATCCTGGTCCCCACGTTGACTGGTGCAGGCCGCGCAGCGAGTTCATCTTCGTCTCAACCTTGCGCTCAATCTGGTGGTGCCATGCGTTAGCTGGCTGCCTCTGTGTGATGGTTCGTTGTGGCAATTGAGTGAGTGGCATGGTGAGAAACTTACGCTATCAATATGATCGGCCCACGTCAGTTTGTGATCCACCTGAATACCCAGTATTCGAAGACCGCCAAGTTCCTCCTCCTCCTCATCATCATCGTCGTCGTTTCTAAGCGCTGGGTCTTGTCGCTTCGCTGGGTCCTGTCGCTTCTTCCTCAGAACCGCCCTCTTCTTTCTCTTTGTCAACCTTTCCTTGACCAGGCTGTTCTTGGCCAAGTTGGGAATGTTGGGAACCCCCTCGTACGGCTCACCTCGATCACCAGGCTTTCGAAAGTGCATGACACTGTACTTGGCTGGAGAAAAGTTGATACCGCGCGGTGCGGCCCACTCCAGAACTCGCTGATGCCACTTCTCGATGAGCTCGCAATTTCTCGCATAGTCCTTTGAAGTAACAACGATGTAGGTATCATCGACGTATGAAAGTGCAAAGACACGGTCTTCCTTGGGGTTTTCCTCGTCAAACATCTCGATGATCCGCGCAGCAAAGAAGGTAAAGAGAATAGGCGATAGTGGGCTTCCCTGAGGAATACCAATGTCAACGTAAAACTCCATCGAAATATAGCCCGGCATTCGGAGCCTGGTTTTTCGATCGGAGAAGAACGATGTGATCAGAGCCAACAACCACTCGGGAATCCCCATGGCGCGCATGATGATGATCAATTCTTCACAACTGACATGGTCGTAGGCTCCTGTAATATCAAGCCCTAAGAGAGTCGTCTTCAACGCAGCAAGCCACCCGTCCATCACCGCATTGGCAATGAACTCAACGGCCTTGGAAGTGCCTTTGCCGACGAATCCATACTGGTGGGGTGGAACCAGTCCGAGACGGACTGCTATTTGCCGAAGAAGGTCTGCAATGAGCCGCTCAAAGACCTTGCCGATAGTGGAGAGCAGCGCCACGGGGCGCCAGCTCTTTGGTGTGGCATAGTCAGACTTGCCCTCTTTTGCAAGCACGACTGTGATGGAAGCCTTGAAGCAGTCGGGGTAATGACCCAACCGCACGCAGGCATTGAAGAGGTGCGTGAGGTAGGGCAACAGGGAGGTGCTCGCGTACTTGAGAGCATCGCTCGTGACTTCGTCAGGGCCTGGACTCTTGCCGGTCTTGAGGCGTTTGATGACATTGGCGACATGATTCTCCATAATGAGTGGAGGCTTGTCATGTCCCATTATCTTGATAAGCCTCTCGATGTCCTTGCGTTTGGCCTCGGCCTTCTTTTGGGCGGCGTGCCTAGCCCTGACTTCAGCTCTGGCTTTTCTCTGACCTTCAGTCTTGGCTCTCTCCCTGGACAAGGCAGCAGCCCAATGGGCTGGGTCGACCCCAGGCGGAGGTGCAAAAGAGGTTGAGTCTGATGCAGGGGAAGAAGTACCTTGCGACTCTGCTGGTGTGGCGGGAACGCTTTCGGAAACGCTTTCGGGAAGGGATGGTGTGGTGGGCGTGTTGCAGCATACAGGCGTCGAATCAGGGCCCCCAGCAGGACTTGCTGGAGCGGCCGGAATCTGGCACCCAGTGTGCAGCAGATTCGACGTCCCACCCTGCGGGACCTCGTCAGGGGGACAATCGCGCGTTTTCTCCCATATCGAATCCCGGAAAACCTTGGCATTCTCCTCTGAGCTACCGCAAATGGTGGTCTGATTGTTTACGGTAGATTTGAACATGGGCATATGCGGTGGTCGCTGGATCTTGCTACGACGTTGCGCCCACCTCACCAGCGACCATAGCCCTGGGTCCTGGAAAGACTGAATGGCAGCTCTGCACCGCCAATGCTTCCTGCCTTCGAGTCTCATCAGACGATTGCTTTTGCTGTGGAGGGCTTCAAGAACTTGTAGCTGTTTCTGGTATGGTCGCTTTCCAAATGTCATCCGGCGCAATTTGCTCATGGCAATTCTCTCTTGTGCAAGATGGTCTCGTATAGCGGGTGTAAGCGGTAGTTGTTTCCGAGGCGTGTTTGGGTTCCGCACTTGACTCTCGACGCAAGTTTCGGTTGCAAGCTGAACAGCGTTGATAATATCCGAGGCGAAAAGATTGATGCGCGATGGGGAAGACAGGTCCGGCAAGGATTTGTCAGAGTCTCGCAGAAGACGCAGTGTAGCGCCCACCTTCTTCCTGAATTTCGCTTTGTCCACACTGTTCATGCGATCAAATTTCCACTTCCTACTACCGTCCTGACTAACTCGAGCGTCCAGAGTGGTGTAGATGACACAATGGTCCTCGTGGAACCCACGAGCATCCTCAACTCGGACCTTTGGATTTCGACGACGGAGTTCCTTTCCAGCCCAGACCAAGTCAATGGTTGATTGTTTAGAACCACTCCGATATGTAGGGATCTTGCAGACGAGGCAACGCATCCCTGCTTTCTTTGCCGCTGAGTTGAGAGTTCTGCCATGTGTATTCCCTTTTGGCCTTTTCCCCTTGGGGTCAGGAAGAGACCAGTCCTTATGATGGGCGTTGAAGTCGCCAAGGATGAAACAATTGTCGAGGTTCCGACATGCGGCAAAAAAGTTCTTCATGATGAAGGACTTGCCCGGCCTGCGGTTGTAGACGTTGTAGATCTTGATTTCGCTGTCGTTATCAAGACGGAGCACCAACATGGCGATGTATCCCTCGCCGTGCGGCACATCCCACTCAACCCTCCAAGAGTTCAAGTTGATCGATTTGTGGACGTAAAATGCCACGCGCCGGACGCCTTGTTTCTGCTTCCCCTTTTTGTCGAGGGATGGCTTGTCTTCGTGGTCGATGATGCCCCAGTCGCTTCGATATTCGTAATGGTAATCTGATAGCTGGAACACCTCGACTGGAGGGTCTTGTATGGCAAGGATGGCGGGGACTCGATCCAAAGTGGATCCGTGATCCGCCAGAAAACGGACACGCTGAGATTCTCTGCGTACGTTGGCCTGCAGTATGTCGAGGTGTTCCAGGGTGTAGTGATGGGCTTCCGTGCTGGTGGAAAGAGAGCCAAACGTGTGGCGAAGCCCCGGTATGGTGGCAACCGCGGCGGCCTGGGGGTTTGGTCAGACTTGTTGCAAGCAAGGTACGTCGTTCAACTTACCGGACTGGAAGGTATCTGGACATGTTGCCCTTCCGCGGAGGGACTCGATGCTGAGGGTGGAGTGGGTATTTGTGGCTGGCTGTGCTCGAGGCAAGGAGACTTGCACTACATTTGCAAGGATGGTCAGCCTGTCATGTGACTTTTTGGAGCCAGAAACCTGAAGAGAGAGACTCACAGCATCTGTATTCGTCGTCAAGGTCCGAAGACGACGGGCCGTGCGGCCTTGTGAGCGAATGGCAACCATGCTCTCGCCGCGATCTCGTGCGACAAAACTGTCGTCTACACATACGGGCTGATGACTGCGTTAGTCTGACCAATGCACACAATGAGGGTCTTCACGTGCACAAATACCAAGTTTGTAACACGGGAATATTCATTTGCGGAAGAAGAGCAGCCTCATGTTGGCGACTGTCTGGCCGATGCTTCGAATGCAACGAAGAAAGATTTGACGGACGGCGTGGCGCCTTTCGACCACCAGAGATTTCTCAGACAGCTGTGGTAGGACGAAAAGATGAAGGAAGACAAAATGCAATCTTGAGATGAACGGAAAGAGGCGATGGTTGTGTCATCGAAGGCTCGAGACAGGAGCATGGCCGACATATATGGCTGACTCCTGTTCGAGCTGATTGTGACAACGGGGTCCATTGGAAGACGCTCAGTCCGAATAGGAAGATGGAGGAATTCAAATCAGAGGCAGAATTACCGAGTTTGTTCCTCTATCCGAGGAGTTTCAAGTAGATACGTACCTAATCAAGGGGACGGAAGCTTCGGTTTGCTCGCTTTTCCCGGTATCCGTAGCTAAGGTAGGCACGGTACCTACACAGTATGTATGTGGCAATCACTGTTGATGGTGGCAACTGCTCATGTTCAAACTTTTGCAGCTACGCCGTAATTACCCCAAGAAAAGCAAGCACTGCCGCTTGCCATATCTCTCGTCGCTTTGGCAATTTCGCGTGACGCGACCATGTCCCTGCCGGCCCATGCAGGTGACAGGCCGGTGGAGTGCGAACCTGATAAGGTGGGTTCTCAAGATCTCCAAAGTTAGGTCGAGAGTACCTTAGGTCTAAACCCCAAACCTACCTAATGTGAGGTAGAGTCCTAGACCCATGAGAGACCCACTGCCACCCAACTGCCACCGAACCCCCATGTAAGGTACCGATCTTATCAGTACCTCACTGATAGGAAACGGGCAGTTTGTCCACTTCCATCAGGAGTAAGGTACCTATCTTAGGTACCGTGGAAAAGACACGGTGCTAAGGTAGTACGTACCTTCCATTGTTCATCGTGGTGTCGTGTCCGAATCAGTGACCATTTGCCCACACTACTCTCGCCACCTGCGTTCCTTTTTTTGGATTGGCTGTTTATTCATTTTCATTTGGCATTTTTTTCTTTTCTTTTTTGGAGCCCAAGGTACTCTGGTGGTCGTGCACTTCTGATGAGTTGGCTGATTCGTTTCACCAGATCTTACCTTCAAGTCGAATAAAAGAGGTTCCCACCTACGGTAGCAGGTACTCTGGCATCGAAAACATCAATTCACCTCACCACACGGACAACACATTCTTCAGCTACTCATACTTCCAATCAGTCTCTCATTCTACTCTCACTGCTTTATCTGCCACCATGAACTATCCCCCGTACGGACACAATCCCAATTCCTATGGATACAATGGGGACGTGTTCGCCAACCCTCCCGGTCAGAATGGCCCTCAACATAGCGGAATGCTGGGCCAGCGTCAACATGTCTCTCATCCGCAACCTCTTCATTCCCACAATCAATTTCATAGGGGCTCTCCTGGTCAGCTGTCTAGCCGTGGCGCTACCTTCGGAATCGAGCCTTCTATGAATATTGTGCCCGACATTCTGCGGGTTCCGTCCATGCAGCAAAAGTGCACCAACAACTACCCTCAATCGCCCAATCACTTCCCTACTGGCTTCATTGCATCCAGCAGCACAACCTTGGCCCCCTACTCTCGCGGCCCTCCCCATAAGCAGGATCTTGCCGATCAGAACGCTACCATGCACTGGAATGATTCCAGCCTCGCGACTGGCACTTCCTATGGCGGTCCTATTAGCCCAGCTCCTCCCCATGTCTCCAGAGCCTCTTACCAGAGCCCTACTCTCATTCAAGAGCCTCCAACTCCACACAATACAGCAGAAGATGCAACCATGGGGCTAGCGTCCGATGCCACAACAACCTTTACCCCCACGACAGTCATGCCATTGGAGACCCAGCCGGGCCATTCCAGTAGCCACACCAGCTCATCCAACAGAACCGCGCGTGTTGTGTCTCCGGTTCAACAGGCCGCTGCCAATGCACCGTCGGTCGGAAGCAGTTCCGCGACCAAAGCTACTATCAGTGATGGTCGGGCACCGGCTCCTGGCTACACCCCTGACCGGGCTCAGGTTCCGGATCAGAATCAGGCTCAAGACCAGGCTCAGGCTCAAGGCGAGAGCCAGGCTCGGAATCGGAGTGCGAAGAACAGCAAGTCAAACCGCAATACCGGCGCTAGGGCTGTCAGAAGACCCCAGTCCGACGTGGACCGATTGACACGTTTGATCGAATATCAGTTTGAACAAGGCTTCAAACGTCTGGGGCTATGTGCTGAGCCACGTGAAAGCGAGAGGAAGGACAACAGCCCAGCAAGAACACAACGAACCGCCAAATCTGTCAAGGTCAAGATCGAGCCACCCAATGCCCTTGCTGCCTTTGACCAACACCGGAGCGCCATCCTCGGCCAACTATCCACGCATGACTCGGTGTACTCACGAGTCGATAAAATCGAGCGGGGAAAAGAAAAGGAAGTCATGTGGATTACCTTTAAGAACCTCTCGGATGCTCAGGCCTTTAAGCCAAACGCTGCACATCTAACAGCCGCGACGAATGTGACTGTCACCAATTTCGTCCTCTACCCCGAGTTCTATTGGGTTAGGGCCACATTGCACGGCAAGAAGATTACACGTGAGATGATCCAGGAAGATTCGGGTTTGCGTTGGTTCGAGGATTTTGGTATCTACCATACGATGTTCAAACCAGCGGTCAACGGAAACGCGGTCTGGCTTCGTTTCACTGATTCGACCATGGCGTGGAAACTAATCGAAACTGCCGAACAACAAGGAGACGACCTTCGCATCGACTTCTGCTCAGCCAAGATCGAGTAGGTCACCTCTTCAACTTCCCTGCTGAAATTTAGCTAATACGTACCCCAGGGCTGTTGATGTACGCTTGAAACCCTTTTACTGTTACAAGTGTTACGAGCCGGGTCACATGGAGAATAAGTGCAACCAACTGCACTCTACTTGTGGGAAATGCGCTGGTCAGCACAAGACATCCGAGTGCGCCCCAGGGACCAAGTTCCGATGTCCCAATTGCGGAGATGAACACCCTGCCTGGTCCCCGCAATGTCAAGATTCTGAGCGAATGAAGATGCTGGCACGTTGTGCTACCTTTGGCATAGATGAGCCGTTCTGGGCACGGGATATGCGCCAGGCACAAAGGCTATCTGAGATGGACACGTCACAGCACTATTCGCCATCAGCATTTTCAGATTCCATGACACCCAGGACTCCTTCCGATCACCACACTGGAGACGACCATGAAGCTCACGCCAGACATCCGCACCCCACGCTCAGCCGTCGTGAGATGCGGATGCCAGAGTCACCCACACGCAATGGCAGGACACAACGCGGTGAAGGCAGTTTGCAGACGCCTACCTCCATCGCCCAGAATCCTGCCGAAAGGCCTCCCGAGTTCGGAGGTTCGTCCAGCAACCAGGGCCAAGGTTCGCTCCCAAAGGCCAGTCAGTACGTGGCCCCGGCCCCGAAACCGACACTAACATCATCAAGAGCGACGCATGCTCGAACCGTCGCAACTCCATCCGTACCTCCCAGGAAAGGAAGGAACGCCTTGGTGTCGTCAGCCACCGCGTCGAGTCCGGTTGAGGCAAGCAACAGTGGTGGCCCTCGTCCCAAGGCCCACCCGAACGGGAGGTCTGCTCGGGGTGCTTCCAGCTCGACCTCCAAGACCACAGAAGCAGACGCGGCTACCGGAACGCAAGACAATTCGTCGCGCAACCAGAAAGCGCCAAAGAGGGCCATCAGCCCCAGCGTCAAGACCCCTCAGCGAGCGAAGCCGCGTCAATGCCGACGGGATATAGGAAAGCACGTCGCCTCGCCAACTCTCCGGCGGACCCAGTGGCATGCTAACAAGTCCGACGGGTGGTCCTCGTCTGGCATGAGCGAGATTGCCGCAGGCAAGCGTCCGGCTGAGCCTTACACACTGCCTGTATCGCCCAACAAGTCAACGGACCAGAGTGTAGCTTCCGAATCGTCAGGCAGTGGCACAGCGACAGCGTCCGAGACAGGGACGGCGTCGTCCTCTGAGGCAAGCTCTTCAGTGAGACCTGTCAACCCTCCAGTTGCCGATCGTCCAGTCGCTCCACCCCCCCAGCAGAACAAAGGTCGCGGTGCCCAGGCCCCCGCGGACAAGAGTCAGGTTACATCGGCGCCATCGCAAGAAAGGGAGGTATGTGTGTATCAAATTTCGTCTTCCAGAACGAATCGTAACCATTACAACGTAGACCCTTTGAGCTGGCTTGAACTTAAGAAAGGGCGCCGACCTCGTGCCAGCAAGATGCTATTTCATGGTTCACTCCGGAAGTTCCACGGCCAGCCTATCCGGAAGAGGAAGTAGCATCTGGATGTATTTCCTTTCCAAGCACCAGGACATTGGGAGTATGAGATTGATCTGGGGTGGGTTTGCTCTTTTTCTTTTTCTTCCTTGTTTGAGGGGGGGGGGGAGGGGGGGAGGAGAGGCTGTGTGTAGGGATTAGTTTGCGACTTAATGGAAGGTCCATGAAAGCGATGTAGACAGGACAGTGTGCGGGCCGTTGTACTTTTTCTCAGGTAGTCACAGAGTAAACGTAATTTCCTTGCCAGAGCCAAGAACCACTATGTGGCCGGCCGCTGTGATAGGTGCGCCAGCTTTCTACCCAATAGGCTGGAATCTTGTACTTTTGACTCACAAAGAACTTACCTTCTGCGATGACAAGGTACAGTGGACACGGGGTTGAAAGCCCCTGATTTCGCCTGTCGGGCCTGCTGGGCCTGCCTCAGGCCGAAGATATGTGCAAACATGTTGGACCCATGGCAGTCGCGGGCGAGGGGAGGCCCCCTGCCGAAGGAGCTGCACAGGGCTCAAGCAGCATGAGTTGCTGCCAGACGAGTTGAGAGGCTTATGTCAGCAATGTCGTTGAATTTTAGGGTTGGATCTGTCACACACTAATGCGCACTAGTCGTACCGGCCCCGCGGGACGCATGGCCCGGTCCTTCCATCCCACGAACCATAATGCGTACCTACCTTCCTTGATCCACAATCGATCGGGGCCCCAGCCGCCTCCGCGCGATCATGTATACAGTGCTTTCTGAACTCGATTCGCACATGCCAGATACGTTCCATGTGCGGCCGCGGAAGAATTCGCACCTGAAAGCCTCTCCATGTTCCAACCACCACAGCTCGAAAAAGCTGTGACAAACAACCTGGTCGCGTATTTTGTTCAACAATGGACCCTAAATCCAAATTTTACCTTGCCGATGCCATTTACAAGAATAGGATAACTGAGGTCCACCGCCAATTGTTTGCGCCCATCAAGTCGGAAAATATCACCCCACCAGTCGGAAAAGTAAAACAAGTGTAAATAATCTTGGAGGTGCACCGAAACATACCCAAGGTAGATGCTGCGGCCTAGATGATTAACTACATTACTCAGGAATGGTGGCCCCTGTACCTCGCATGTTAACGAATGTGTGATATCTCGCAAACTGCTCAGAATGCTCATCAGCCGGTGGGGGAAGTGGTCGGGAAGCCTCAGTGATTAATATAATAGCCTATCGTTCCGCGGCCATGACAACCTCAGCTGAAGAGCGGAAGGTTCGAGCTAGTCTCTGCCTTTTGTTTTTTGACTTTAGCTGCTCTGCCTCACTTTATTGCCTCTCATCGAGACTGCGCCCACCTCTGCGACCTATATATCCGGTTAGCATTGTTCATTGCAACATGTGTCGTGAAATGGCATTTTTGCTCCCTCGGGTGCTAGCAGTAGTATTGCATGTGTTTTGACGTGCAACCTGAAGACAAATCATGTCGAGACTCAAACCGTGCTTGAACATCAGGCTTGAGGGACTGAAGAGTGCGACAAACTGGTGCAAGCAAGGATGCGGAATATATATATTTCGTCTTTTAAATACACAGACTACGTTCATAGCCCGCAATGTAGATACACAGAATAAGAATACAACGTCGATGCAATGCGGCCAAGCCACGTCAACCACGGCACCCAGCCCACATTCAACCACTACACGCCATCATCCCACCTCACTCTCGCAACGCCTCGCAACAAAGCCTTCAAAATGCAATCACCCAGGCGGAAGCATACGTCCAAGCAAAGCGCACGCTCCGCTTACAAGCACTGCGAGTACCACTCATTCGTCTTGGTGCAAGTCAATCCGGAAGCACAGGCAGTGGGCCCGGAGTATCCAGCCCCACCGCACTGGCTCCACTTCGCCGCCGCCTCGGACCCGGACTCCTCCGAAGCAGCCGCGCTAGGCTCGGCAGCAGTCTCGGCGCACGTCGCGACAGGAACATCGGCAGCGGAAGACGAAGACGCAGGCGTCGGGGTAGGGGTAGGGGTAGGCGTGGGAGTCGGCGTGGGGACGGGTGTCTCGGCGACCTCCTCCTCCTCCTTGACAATCGGCGCAGCAGAAGCCGAAGCAGACGCAGTAGCGGAGGGCGTGGCAGAAGTCGAAGCAGCACCAGAAGCGACAGCCCCGGATCCAGAGCCCGTCTTGGCCCATCCGCGCTTCTGCGAGAGCTCGTACCACCAGTTACGGTACATCCACCCATCGAAATCCGTAACCTCCATAGCGGACCCGGCAAGCATGATGAACTTGCTCTGTCCCGTCGGCTCCCAGTCGTAGAAATCATCCAGTCCAAAAGTATGTCCCATCTCGTGCAGCAGGATATGAATGCTCTCCGAGTCGAGGTTGTTCAGCATATACTCCCTGCCCACCTGCTGACCCCAAGAATACCCGAACCCGCCCTCCAAACCGTCCGTAAGCTGGAGCGAGCTGTCAAAGTGGCGCGCCGCACCGCCCTTGCACCCGCTGTAGTCGCCGTCGAGGTGCGCTTCACGCTCGCAGGCCGGGTCGCACGCGGGTATGCCCTGCGGGTCCGCGAAGGAGGTGTAGACGTCCAAGCCGTCGGTCGAGCCCTCGATCAGCGCCGTGTTGTTGGTGGCGTAGCCGACGATGTTGACGTCGATGTTGGCGTAGGGGAAGCCGTCGAAGCCGTAGAGCCACTTGAACCACTTTTGGTACTGGGCCGCGTAGGTCGAGGCGAGCTTGGTGCGCTGAGCGGCCGTGATGGGGGAGTTGGAGTCCCAGCGGACGCAGACGTTGATGGAGCTGCGGGTGTTAGTCTTCTTGTTTGCATCGGATGTGAAGGCGAAAGAGGTACTCACCCGTTGTTGGCCATGATCTGGTCCCAACCCCAGTTCTTGTTGCCCTCGATGGCGCCGTCGTATGTCTTCTCGTAGTGCGCCCACACCTCCTTCAACGCGCCCGAGAGCTCAGAGGGAGGGTTCCAGCCCGTCTGGCGCTTCGTGGGGCGGTTACGCGCGCGGACCTGCGGGGCCGAGGCGGCGGGGGAGGTGCCCTCTAGCATCTTCCAGACGGAGCCGTCGAGGTCGGACTTGGCAGAGGTGGAGGTCAGAGCCAGGGCCGAGGTGGCGGCGAAAGCGACCGCCGCGGCGGTGGATGCGATGGATGGCATCTTGGAGGTTTGCTGTTGATTGTATTGGGGAGCAATAGGAGGTAAAGTTGAGTGTTTGAGTGGGACGGAGTTGATGTGACAAAGGAACGATGAGTTTTGGTTTAGAGAGAGTGTATGACTTGAAAGAGCGTCAAAAACGAATGTGAGGTCAAAGCTTGAGTGGAAATATCAGAACATGAACCAGCCAAGTCCTGCAATACACACACAGCGAAAGAACGAGGTTGAGAAAGAATGAAGGTGATGACAAGAGAGAGAGCAAGTCAGCAACGAAGGAAACATGGACGACCATTGGATATATGTACCATACTCGGAGCATCCTTCCCAATCTTAGTGCGCGGGATACATTAGACAAGGGGGTGGGATGGCCTAGCCGAAAGATGCCAAAAGCACCTTACCCTTTCCCACCTCTATTTTCGCTCAACTCTCGCAGTCTCCACATACTTCAATCAAAGAAGATGTCCTTCTTACTCGATTTCGTCTATCGATACAAATAAAGCCCACTCCTTGAGTCCGCAGCCTCGAAGATCTGAATTACTTTCTATTGAGCACAATCATTTCATCATGGCAACTATGAAGTCTTTGACAAGGTCTAGAGTCTTGACTTTCTCCCCCAGCCCGTATTCCACTCCCTTCAAATGTCGCTAGCTCTGCCTTACCTAACCTCAACAGGGACCTTATGTGCAGGTGTGGGGGCCGGGATGGACCATGTTTGGTTGGTCGCTCTCTGAACGACACTTCAAGACCAGATTAAAGGACCGTTGCGCGCGGTTGCGGCTAACCCTTTCCAAGAGTCTCCTTTAAGCCCAATTAACTCTGTAAAATTCCGCGTAGAGCTGTCAGCACTCTACCAGGCTGCAGATTGTTTTTTCAGATTGAGACAAAAGTTGTCCATCGCAGCCGAGCCTGGGGGGGAAAGACACTGCGTGTCGGGAATAAATTCGCGCCAAGGCGCTAAGGAGGCGCATGTGGTCCAACACAACGGTCCAGAGCCACTTTGTAATCATCCTCCACTTCCCTCGTCTGTCAGTTTGGGACTGGCGTGAACAGTCCGAAATCCAAAGGGGAAGGGCTCGCCTTTACTGGTAGTAGTACAGCGGAGGAAACGCCTTTTGGGGGGTTGCAAGTCCGTCAGCGTTTCCATTCTCTCTGTAGTCTGCACACTTTTTTCATTATTTCTCGTATTTTCGTATTGTTTTCTCTTTCCATCTGACGGTATGACTAGAAATTCCGACCAGGCTGTAAACTTTTACTCGTGTATTGAAATTTGACAGTGCTCTGTCAAAGAGAGGTGCACTCTCGGCTTCTTCCACTCTCGGTCTCTTGGGTCCTTACTCTTTTCCAATGTCCAACGTCCAGGACTACAGTCTCTCAACCGCGGGATCCACGGGTCCGCAAGTCCGGCTGTCCGGCCCCCTTGGCGCGTTGGCATTCTCGCAGAATCCATACCCAGGTTTAAACGAACACGCACCTCCGTAGAGACCATCATTCGAAGATCCACCAAATAAAGAGAAATTGGGAACCGCAAAAACGGTGCAATCTCTCCCATGAAGCGATGCAATCAACACCAATTAAGAATTAATTTCTTGACTCTTCCCAAGTTCTGCCCTCTTGCCACGACTCGACTCACAATGCACTGGGCTTCAACCCTTGAACCCCAAAGTGCCAACCTCCCCCAAAGTCTTGAAGTCCCAAAGTGCCCAGACAAGCCCCCGTAATAAATCCGAAGCACATCCGTAGCGTGATTTGGTGCTGGCTCGTGTGTTTCCCGGTGGGATGGTACAGCCCCATGCCACTGACGCCTCCCACTGGGCGCATCCCACTGGTGCGAAAATAAGTTTCGGAAACCACAAAATCGGGAATCGAAATCGAACCAGAGTTGCAAAGACATCTTGGCGGTGTTCGTTGTAAATGATCCCGGGATTCAGGGATACCGGTGGGCGGACAGACAAACACGCCCCCCTCACCCCTTTAGTCTAACAACGATCACCCCCAAACGGTTCTTGAGATTTGTATTGTACAATTGCATCATTACTTGTATGCCTAACGCTACTTTATCGTTTCCACACTTACGGATACCAGTACCATCACTACAAGGTACCAGAGGTTGCAGTGTCAACGGATACGCCGGAAGTAAGGAGCGTTGCGGAAATAAACAACTTTTTAAGCTTAGCTTTAGCCTGAGAAACTAAGAACCTTCGGCACCATACAGAGACGAGAGTTTATTTTTGCTTCCTGTCGAATTCTTGCGTCAGCTTAGATAAGCGCGCGTGCACTGCTAAAAAGTGCAAAGCAGCAAAAGTCTAATGTCTCTCCGTAATGCTGGTGCCAAGTGCCAATGCCAAAACCTAATGTTTAGAGAAGACAAGTTCCTGAACTCCACTTGTGAAATCGAAATAAAGGAGACCCGCCGGACGAGCAGACAAAAAATTGAAGAAGAGGAGACGCGAGAAGGCAGAAGAGAGAACACAGTCGGAGGAGTCGACGAGTCAACCTCCGAACGCAGCAAATCTGCCCCAAATCTGAACTTCCCAAAACCCGCCCCCACAAACCGTAAGTCTCTATCTTCATGATGATTCCCCCCACACCAAAAGGCCTCGACGCCCAAGCCTCAAAAGCCAAGCCACAATCTCAACCTCTCCCTTCATCATGTAAGGTTGAAGCCATAAGTGACCCTCAACCCAAGCACCCCAGCCTCAATCCTTAACAAGCCAAACACAAACAACAGGCTTCCCCCCCGGCATCCCACTCCGTTCCCCGTCCCACCCAACCTCCTTCACACTCTTCTTCATCATCTCCTTATCGTCCCCCGAGAAACACAACCCCTTATACCACCGTCCATTCCCGGCCTGCACGATCTCGAAGCACTTATTCTTCTTCGGGTTCGGGTTCGTCGCCCCGAACCCCTTCAACACCTCCGCGAGCGTCGTGTTCACGGGGACGTGAAAGGCGGAGAACTGGATCCGCGCGTTGAGGGGCAGCTGCCACGGCGGCGTGCTCGTCCGGAAGACGTGGATTTTTGTGTGGGCGGCGGGGAAGAAGTAGTTGTAGCCTGGTTCGCAGCCCGTTCCGCCTGTCGAGTTGGAGAGGTGCGCTGCTGGGTTGCGTGGGTCGAGGGTCGGGAGGGCGGTTGCTGTGCGCGGGGTAAAGGTTGCTTGGCCGCCTGGTTGGAGGGGGTATGTTCCTGGGTAATGGCTTCCTTGTTGCTGCATGCCGGCGCCGGGCCAGGCGTAGGCGGTTGAGCCCGGGTAGGGCTGGTAGGATGTTGTGGTGGCGGGATAGTAGTACGTTCCGTAGGGTGCCGGGGATGGGGCGCCGTAGCCGGCGTGCGGGATGTAGGGCTCGCCCCAGCGCGGGAGGGGCATGCCTTGGGGGCCCCAGGGGGGGCGGCGGCCTTCCATGTCTGGGCCGTTGACGGGGTTAGACATTTTGTTTGATGTGTGGGTGGATCAAGGTAGGATCAGGTGTGGTTTGGCTGCCAGGTGTTTACCCAGTTTCCGAGCACGGGGTTGAATTCCGTGATCCAAGTGCCGGGGACGGGGCCTGCGTGTGACGGGTCCCAGAGATGGTGCGGGTGTCTTTGGTATCCGTACGCCGGGATGTGTGCCGGATGATGGTATGCGCTATTGGTCGGGGCGAGAATCAGGCGGCGAGAAAATCTGTCGTTCAAGTGTTGGCTGGTATTTGAGTCTGGAGATGTGAAGAAACCAAAAGTCAGCAAAGGTGGGAACATGGAGGCTTGTTATATATCCTTCCCAGATATCACATATCTTGGGTTGACTGACAGTGAATAACCGCCACGCGTGAGGACAAACCAAAGTGACTCACCCGAATCCGACCGCTCAACAAACTGCCCCTCCCCGTTGTCGTCGTGATCACCGCGAGTGTCACGCTGAGAGGCAAAAATCTCAGTGCTCCAGACGATGTTGTTGTGCTGGTCAAAAAAGGTGCCGACAATGAGGTATCCCCAAAACGGCGGGTCGCGCGAGCAGTTCCAGTACTGCGCGATGATGAGTTTGGTTGCTGGGTAGGGCAGGTACTCTGGTTTCTCCTCGACGGGAGGCTGATGGGACGCCACGGTGACTGCTAACTAGGGAACTTTGTGTAATTGAGAAGACAAGTTGGATACTTGTTGTTGTAGTGCCCAAGGTATGTTGAGCTTGAAGGCTATGGGCAGACGAATGCGAATATTGACGAAGAAGAGTTTGATCAGTTATCCTGGTCTAGATTTATGTGACATTAGGCAGTAGTGTGAATCAGAGACTTGAGGCTTGCGAGAGATGAGACCAAACTATGTGAAAAGTCACTGTCAATGTCTAATCAGACGATTATCGGTGACTGATGGTGATGCGCGGCAAACAACTTCCCATTCCAACTTTGAGTCTATCAAAGTTGAGATGAGCATGATGGGTGCTGGTACACGACGGTGAATCATTGCTATGGCGCAATGCTCGGGGTGAGTTAGTAATGGCAGCCGCAGTTCTCTGCATCAATTCAAGTTCGACATAATCACATGAATATGAAGTGGAAGTTGCAAAGTCTTGATTGATGGTGATTTCAGTGTTATTCGATTGGTTGATTGTGTGCTATGAGCTTCTCGACTGCCTGTGGCGCCTGTCTTTCGGTTGTGGCTGACTGAGGCTGACCGTGGCTGGAGCTGTTGTGGACCTCTGTCTTATGTAAGCTGAACAAACGAGGGCACCTTGGACCCTCAAGCTGGCTCGCTCCTTCGGCCCGTAAGCTCATGTTCACAGTTCAAGAGCCCAAAGGAAGCCAGAGTATGGTCAAAGCCTGAGAAAAGTGAAACAGTACTTCGACCATCATCCCGATCCTGATCTCGGCTTTGCAGCTGTCCATCTGATAACGCGCCAACCCATCATGGTCGGCCAAAATCAAGCTGACTGTTGGGTCTCCACCACGTCATTTCGCTAGGCCCTCGTAATTTGATGACCGTGACCGCATCATTTTCCCTGGCCCGGATGCCGTGAGCGAGGCTGAGAACGCTGATGAATGTGACACTTCCTCCACCCAAAGGGAAGGACCGCAACATTATTGCTGTTGCGGGAAGGTATCGCGTAGCCTCCGTGTGAGTGGCGTCGTAGTGAAGAGGTATGCCGTAGCGGGGCGCCGTAAATAATCCATGTGCCCTTCTCAGAAGCTCTGGGCTGCAACAGTCTCATCATCGTACCGTCGAGCTTGGAGCCCATGTCAATGGAGAACCCCGCAAATGCCGTGAGCTGATGAGTCGGAAAAGTCCGAATGTCCAAGTCGTAGACCGCCTCAGTCCTCAACCTCGACATCCTCCTCAACAACCCGCACAGCACCGCCCTTGATGCTAGCCGCCCCCTTGACAGAGTTCTTGAGCTGCTCAACCTCCTGCCTCACCAACTTGCGCCGCTCCACCTCAGTCACGAGCCCCTTGAGGTACACTTCCGCCTGCACGGTCGCGCTGTACGACATGGCCGTCCAGCTCCATACGTTTCTCCTCTCGGCGTCAGCGCCAGCGGCAAGCAGCGTCCTCAGCACGAGCAAATTCCCGTTACTGCTCGCGAAATGCAGCGCCGTGTTGCCGTCTAGATCAGCCCTCTGCACGGCGGCGCGCGCGCCCTCGGGGACGTACGTCAGCAGGATCTGCAGCACGGTATCGTGCCCTCCGCGGCTCGCTTCCATGATGGCGTCGCGCCAGCGTATGTCGCGGCGGAGGATGACGTGCGGGGTTCGCTCGCAGAGGAAGTGGACGACCTCGGTGTGGCCCGCGGCGGCGGCGAGCATGAGGGCTGTTTGGTGGTGCTCGTTGAGGGCCGGGTCCGGGTGTTCGTGGCCGTGGTCGACGAGGACTTTGGCGATGGGGAGGTGGCCTAGGGAGGCGGCGAGGTGGAGGTTCGAGTTGGAGAGGGCTTCGGGGGATGGGTCTGGGTTGTGGAGGAGGCGGGGGTGGGATTTGAGGATTCGTTTGACGAGGAGGGGGTCGTTTGCTGTGATGGCGCGTCGGACGCGGAGGGATGGTTCGATCCTGGAGGCGGAGAGGTTAGCTGGAGTTGTTCACGCGTAGCTGATGTGCGCGGATGGAAGATGGGAACAGCCTACATGATGGGCGGGATTGAGATCGGTCGGGACGGGTCTAGCGAGCGTGATTTGGTCGAGGAACTGAAGAAGTCGACGGCGGCATAGCTGGTGTTAATGTTGTGCTGCTATTGCTACCGTGTCTCCAAAAAAGAGAGGTGATCGGTGGTGGTGATAGCTGGAGGTGAGGTGACGGATATGGAAAAAAGAGTGGCAGGTGAACGGGCGGGAAAGAAGGTGAGTTGGGACGAGATTGCCGATAGGGGGCGGCTGATGACAGGCCACTGTCCGGATTTAGTGCACGGCGCCTGGAATGTCCCTGTCGGTAGCCTTGTGAACAGAGCAGACGGGAAGACAGGGGTGCTTCAGGGGTAGGGAAGCAATGGAAGTACATACCTGCCAAGTACCTGACAAGTACCTCATTAAGCGACTCGCCTACGCCCGTTGACCCCGGTGGAAAATCGGCGGGGAAAAGGCGGGGCAATCGGCGTCACTGCCGAGATTACCTTGATTTTCTCTCCGGTCTTTCGGCTTCGGCTTGTGTTAGGTTGTTGCCTCACTTCCCACCCACCACCATAGGACCGAGCACTTTTGCTGTCGTTTTTCCATCAAGAGGAAGTTGCTAGTGCAAGAAGATTCTGGGGTTTGCAATTGAGTTTGGGCACTTGGACTCCCGCGCATGATTCGACGCGTCTGATGTTGATTGTCTGATGTATCCCGGGACCCCGTCTGTGTGTGCAGCCATTTGACATTTAGGTACCACGCTGGTATCTCACCTGAATGCATCCAAGAAATGTCTAGAATCTGGAAACGACAAGATAGAATCACCACGTTTTACAATGTTTACCAATCAGCTAGTACCCGGGATTCATTTCACTGATTCTACTGATTCCACTGACTAGAATATCTGTTCTATCACTCTATCCTCTAACGCCGAACAGTATGCGTCCACCCTCATCTAGACTCTAAGCAACATACGGCTTTCCAAAAGGGTGCAAATCCAACCCCTCAATATCAATATACCCAAACTTGCTCCCATCCTCATTCTTCCCCATCGCCTCCGCCCACTTGCCCAGAGACTTCATAAACACATCCTTGTACTTCTCCTTACTCACGTCCAACGGCTCCTGATCCCGTCCGATGAGCCTCATCTGCGTGCCCGCCAACATATTCGTCAGCCCGAAATCCTGCTCCCCCAACAACGTCTCAATCGCCGCCGACGCCTCGCCAGCGATAATCTTACGCGGCAGATCCACCTCGTTACACGCAGGTCTGGCCAGCCCGATGCCGTGCACCGTCTTCAGCGCCTCCACCATGGCAGGCACAGTCCTCAACCCGCCGGTGACGTACGCTTTCGTCTTGGTGAGCTGCGGGATGATCTTCTCCGCGAAATCCAAGAAGAAGGCCTCGCGCTTCTTTGTGGACTCGCGCTTGTGCTCGAACGCGAGGGACTGGTACGTCCCGCCGGACAACTCGACGAAGTCGAAGGATGCGGCCTCGAGCGCGGAGCAGAGGTCGCGGCAGTCCTCGGTCGAGAAGCCTTCGTCTTGGAACTCGACGCTATTGACTTTGATGCCGATGCTGAAGGACGGGTCGGGGACGCGGGCGCGGATGGCGTCGGCGATTTCGAGGATGATGCGCGCGCGGTTGGTTAGGGAGCCGCCGTACTGGTCGGTGCGCTTGTTTGTTGTCGGGGAGAGGAATTGCGCGAGGAGGTAGCCGCTGTTCAGACGTCAATCAACTGGCCAAGATGGCACTATACAAAGGGGGAACTCACTGTGCGCCGTGAAGCTCGACTCCGTCAAAGCCAGCCTTGTACACGTACTCAGCCGCATGCGCAAACCCACCAATCACTTTCTCAAAGTCCTCCTTCTCCATCGCCCTCGGCTTCGCGAATCTCATACCCATGACATCCCCCTCAAGCTGCACGTCGCTCGCCGAGATGGGGTGCGGGTTAATCTTCTGCTCGACCTGTCTGCCGGGGTGACTAAGCTGCGCGTGCAACAGACTGCCATGCGCCTTGGCCCCCTCGGCCAACTTGCGGAACCCTTCGAAGCGCTCGCCCTCGAAGGGTGCGTCGAGCGGGATAATCGGGTTGCCGGCGGCCTCGAGCTGGTCGTAGTCGAGCATGACGTTGCCGGAGAGGAGGACGCCGAAATCGCCCTCGCCCCAGCGACGGTAGAGGTTGATGAGCTCGGGCGTGGGGATGCCGCGGTTCGTCGGGGTTTTGGGGTCCCAGGTCGAGAGGCGCTCCGTCATTGCGCCCTTGAGGAAGCGGTTCTTTGCGACTTTGCCGGAGAAGGCGAATTTGAGGGGTTCGGCGAGGGGTTTGGGGTCCACGGCCTCGGCGGCGTATCTTGAGGGTGCCATCTTGGTGGTTTGTGTGTGTCTATTGTGGTGGTGGTTGTTTGGGGGAGGTTTGTCGTGAAGTCTAACGCTGGTGGGACGAACGTGTCTATGGGCGACTTTGTTCCTGATGCTCTAAATCTCAAGGTTTCGGAGGAAAGCCGGACGCAAGGTGAGGAGGGGCGGTGGTTTTTGTAATGTCTCAATAACTCGCATGCCCACTTGTTCATGCACCTTGTCTTGTTTATTCAGCTTTCTGGGTTCGCAGCAGCGGAGCCCCAAACTGACGTCCGCGGCTCTGAAACACTCTTGCTTTGTAATTCAATCTGGTTTTCTCCCCGCCACGCCACCTCATGGACCGATCAACGACACTCTGCTCCACTCGGCATTCGGAGTCTGTGTTGGACTACGAAGATGCCCCTGGTCCATCCAGGTCTTTTGAAGAATGTAACCTAGAAGAGTGCACCGTTTTTCTACAATGGGTTCGAAGTCTACATGCCGGATGACTCACCAAGGATTTATCTTCTTCGATAACAAGGTGTTTAGGATGCAGAACCTGACCAAAAGTCCCAATTGCATTCTACTCAAACCACCAAAGTTCCGTGAATCCGTTCATCATTCCAACTGCAAGCCATCTCTCTTCTTCTTGTCAAAAATTCACGTCCTCGGCTCGGCCCCTCCATCTCGGCCATCAACCCGTTCCAAAATTGCCCCTCACAGACAGCCCCAAAAATGCACTAGGGGTCGTGTGCGTCATGGTGGGGAGCTACCGCAGGGGTCTCCCGCGTCATGAATGGCTCAATTGCCGTGTACGCAGCATTTCGGGGAGACTAAACACACCACTATGTATGTACGTCTGCGCCTATGCCAGCATATGCACGCAGCAGCAAGAGGCGGTCGCCCAATCTGCAGCGCGATTTGTGCCGTTTCGAGAAACCTTGGTGCTCCTTTGGAATCCTTCTAGGCTCGTTATTCGTAAGGTCTTGGTAAACATGACCCATCCGGCGTGCGCCCCCATTCCGCCAAGCTTTGCGCCAGATTTCTAATCCGACGACGGGGGAAAGGCGGGGATTGGACATCCCAACTCTCCACGGAGTTTGTCGGATCGGGTCAACCTCTTTTCCGGCTACGCCCTGCTGAGTCAAGTTTGCTTGTGCTGAATCAGGCGCTGAATCAGGGATCACTTCCACGGCGTTGGAGATGGGACGATTCCTTTCAAGGTTTGGCCTCACTTGATGAAGCCGGATGACCTCATTGGTCTAGAACGTGCGGTCTGGCAGATCTCAGTTCCCTAGGGCGGTACTCCTAGGGCGTTACTCACTAGGGCGTTACTCCCTAGGGCGTAATAGCTCTTGGCGATTTACATGGTGTTTGATTCTCAAATGCCGTCGCCTTCGTTCTCGTTATCGCTTACCCAAGATGCGTAGAGGAGGGATATGAACCCCGCGCGTCATCGTCCCAATTACCAACTTGCTTTTAGGGGATAAACAACTTTCTACACTTCGGCCCGGCCCGCTAAGGCTATCTAGTTTTCTGTCACAGAACAAGAGCTGTGATCCCACATGATGCAGTTTACCCATCCCGTAAAAGAAGGAAGACTCTTCATCTCAACTATATGAAATATACTCAACCTCAGTCCTTCGATATGTCAAACACCACAGTGCGAGGCCCCGCAGCTTGGCCGGTGGACAAAAATCACGCAAAAGCACTTTCTTCAAGCCTCTCCGGCCAGAGAGGCAAAAGGATTGCGTCGAGGGGGAATCGAACCCCCGGCTCCCCGACGCTGCTGGATGGCAACGGAGAATTTTACCACTAAACCATCGACGCTGACGATAATTGGATCTTCTTGTGAGATTGAGGGTCCGCTGGTGCTCAAGGAAGGCAGGTGGTGATGTGTGGTGATGTGGTCGGCCACGATGTGGTTGAGTAGCGAGTGGGCGGTACTTTCCAGGTTGGTGGAGAGGATTAGTTTAGATCCATGCAACTGCCGAAAAGCATTTACTCCCCCCCCCCGGCCCTCCCCTGTGCGGATTTGACCGTTGGGATTTTAATCTCGGAGGCTTTCTATTGTTAGGTGTCATGTAGGATTGTATTGCTTTTTTTCTTTCCTTGAAAGTGGGCAGTGGCGTCTTGGCTGGTAAATGAGAATTGCAGCCCCCAACGCGCGGTCCATAACCTTAATTTCAACTACAGAGCTGACGTAATATAATCTTCTCAGTCTTGTAAGTTGAAAATGATGGCACGACGGGAATAGTATGAACACGACGTAAGCCACAAGTGTACACATGGAGTTATCAACTTTAAGATTGAAGCTGAAGTCTCGAAGAATTTTCACCGATTAAGTGCAATATGCCCCTCCATGCCTTCTCAGGTGATTGGGCTCGAGTATCAACGGCGTTGATTTGATTTGCGAGTTAATTGCTAGACTTCCTAGGCAGGGTCGACTACTATAGTACAACTACAATACAGATTGAGCGAGTAAATGTATGTTTTTCAACTGAGTTATGATAACTTCCACAACATCAGGGTGGGTTCTTCAGGGTTGCAATCCTTTTCTACGGGTGAGCGACTGCTGCACCAATTCTCTTTGGTTCGGTAGAGGCCTTGGTTTCTCATTTTCTTTGTTGAAGTGTACCTCAGCTAGAAATGAAGACTTGCAGTCACTCAAAGTCTATGGATACATAAACACCTCGCCAAAATTGGCACATGATCCACTTGGCAGGTTTGGTTCTACATTTTGAAGATATGGGACTCTACTGGTAGACTTGTGCAGCCACCAGCGGAATCAAATGCCATGGTAACAGCCGTTTCAACAGCCTTTGTGGTTGTTCAGGCTGACATTGCTTAAGAACACGTCATTCAAGCCAGGATTGATCACACTATAGAGAAAAATGGCAAAATCCTCTATTCACCTTCCTTGGAGTCCAACAGGTTCTGAAACCAGTCAAAAATAACTTGATTGTGCTGTTTGAAAGCCCCAATCCCACAGTGTTCGCCAATCCCATCTTCCTCCGTAAAATGATGCAAATACGCCCACTCCCCCAACGCCTCCGCAAGAACTGCCGCCTGACCCTTGAAGAACAAATCATTCTGTGCATCGCCCACGAAAACAGGCGTCCGGATCTGATCCACCACAGGCTCCATGCGATAATCCAGCGATAGCGTCACAAAGTCGTACGCGGACGCGGTGTTGAACGCCCACATCCCATGCCCGAGACCCCAGCGCAGCGTCGCGGGTACCCCGGGCCGCAGAAACCGCTTCGCGTACTCGTCAAAGGCCGCTCTGTCGCCCGAGTCGTAGATCGCCATGGCTTCTGCGCCGAGGGTAGCGTTCACGACGACCGGCCAGTCCCAGACGCCGTCGACGGCGAAGATTGCGGCGAGGCGGTGTTCAAAGGCCGCGGCGCGGGGGGCGAGGTAGCCACCGAAGGAAAACCCGAGGAGGCCGATCGAGGACGGGTCGACCATCTCGGGCTTGTCAAGGAGCCAGTCTACAATGGGAGTAATTACTCGCTCCCAATCGTAGATGAAACCGATTTCCTGGTACCGCCGAACGGAAGGCATGCCTGGCCCTTCGTAGGTGAGGACGTTGTATCCCCTCTCGAGAGCGGCGGCGCCCATGGCGTGGTACATCTCCTCCTGGGACCCATCATACCCGTTCCCCATAATAATCGTCGGGCGCTGCGTCTCCTCCTCGTCAGGCGTGAACCATATACCCGGGATATCAAAGTCCGCCGTCTCAATCGTCACACGCTGATTCGGCACCGTCAACAACGCGAGACCTTCATCGAACGCGGCAGTCTGGTTGCCCCACAGCTCGTAGATGCGGGGATCCGACGCGTTCTCGTGGAGGTAAAAGTCGGCGCTACGAAAGTACGTCGCCGCGGCGAAGAAGGCGCTGCGGGCGGAGACGGGAAATTTCGTTTTCGCGATGCTCCTTGCGCGGTCGAGGACGCTGTAGGCGAGGGCGGAGAAGGAGGTGGCGTAGCTTGCGAAGTCGCCAGGGATGATCTTGTTGGCGGTGGTGAGGACTTCGCCGAGGTCGGCGCCGTCATAGACGGATTGGCTGAGGGCGCGAAGGATTTCAAAGTGGAATGTGTGGTCGGCGCTGAGCTGGTACATGGAGTAGTTCGAGGTTGCCATGACGGGTAGTTTCTCGCGGAGGACCTGGCTCGAAAGTGTTCATGAAGCGAATCAGCTTCACTGGGCGTGATGCATGGTGTCCTGATTCTGTGAGGCTCAGCTTGCAATTTATAAAAGACCAATTCCCATGATCAACATAGTAACCCCGCAGTTGTCAGCAAATGTGAATAGTAGGTGCAGCTGGACGGGGGCTGGATCCTTTCAAAAGTGCGATTGCCCATCAACTTGGCTGCTTGCGAGGGAGACGGGAATGTAACATCAACGGAGGCATGTAAGTCGATGATATCTGACAGCAGCCCCCCGGTTGTAGCGTACCGAATCAAGACTGCAGGAAGCGACGTCAATCTCGACGAACTGGATCAGTGGGATTGGCTACTCGAATGCAGGCGAGTGGCGGGTGCTCCCGGAGGATCAAGCTTCGGAAGGGGGACGCTTGGCGTAAGCACTGCGTCGTCGGTCAGCAATATCACACGTGCTAGCCTGATCAGCTCCGCTAAAGGCACTCTCCACTCGCTTCTGATCAATCAGCATAGCAATCCAAACCCATCGAAGTACTTAGCAGTAAAACATCGCTGAATCTCTGTTGAGGCTTGTCGAGGGTGGTATCAATTGCGATTCTGGGCTCCTACGGATGATGCTATTCCTACGGGCATGCAGGCATTTCAATATATCTATAGAAAACATGCGTTCAGTGGGCTTTACACCAAGTTTTCAGCTCCTCCAGTGAGTGTTCCTGACTCCAAGTATCAAGATGTAAAATTCCACCATTGGGCTTAGGGAGTTTGGGGCATCTCACGATTCAGAAGTCAAGCCATTGGTGGCAAAAATGCCAATATCTTACATGCAAGAGGATCAGAAGGAAAAGAGAGATAGAACCATTATCATTCAAAAGTTTGCCCTGCGGGACCTTGCTTCGGTAGCCCCGGACTATAACTACATCAAAGCAAACATTATTATTTAGCCGGATGAGGAAAGCGGAGGGACTTCGACAACGGTCAAAACCGCTTATTGCGTTTCGGGAATACTCAGGTTAACAAGGGTTGGGGTTAGGGTTTCAGCACTCGACCCTACAGAGTCAGCCAAGACATCGTAAGATTCTTTCGCTAATCACTCTATGCAATCACCAACTCGGTACGCTTATCAAATCAAAAAGAAGAACTAATAAAGTCTTAGCCTGCAATTGAGGAAGCCAGATCGAACTTTTTCTGCCATTGAAATCAGTCAGAACTAAAAGCTGTCATCAAAATGACGCTGAATGCTTGGTGGCAACAACATACGTTGTTTGAGGCAACACCGTCCGGACAATGATGTTCGGACGGGATGACTAATTCGACCAATCAGCGAAGACACAGAGTCTCTTGATGGGGAAATACTCAGCGTCGAAACTAGTATGACCTTCCGGATCAACATGTAATAGTCTGTTCGCGAACAAGCACATGTGGCTCGCTACTCACGGACCGCCAAAATGACACATGCAGGAGCGGAACCTAAATAGTCTCAAGATCAATCCTGCGTAATTTCGGATCTAGTGTTGTGAATCTCGGGCTTGTATCCGCTCTAAAGTAAGCTAAGAAATAGTCAAGACACGAATGAAGTCTGAGGCACAAGTAGTAGAAAGTGGCTTTACTACTCTATGAGGAGCAACATTTCAGATGGGTCACCTTCGCCCAAGCTTCCATACGTTTTGTAGTCTCAATCTGTGTGTATATGGCCTGGACATGACGAATCCAGAAGCACATTGAATCTGCCACCGCAGCGCTGGGTCTAAGACAACTCGGACAATCAACTTCTAAATTCACTCGAATAATTATCGGAAATCGCGCGCAGGCTTGGAGAAGAGACTCAACGGATATGGCTTTACTGATCGACAAGACGGAAGATCTGGGTACGATGATGCGCATCGCATCGAGTTATAATCTCGAAGTCATTGTCAATGATCTTATGTGACATACTAACTGGAGCTTTTCCTAGCAGCGGTATACAGTAACACTACTTGATATACAAACAGCGGAGTAACTCTAGCTCTAGCTTTCTGCGTATTCACACTAGACTCAACATGAATCCAGATAGCAGACGCTGTGCTCCGGAACTGTGTCGCTTCAAAACTACTCGAAAATGATCAGGAGGATAGTCGCATCACCAAGCTCTGCGCTAGTGCATTATGGCACGCCTTCCTTACTACTAGAATCTAAAGGTAGTACACACCAACCGCGCGCACTTCGGTCCTGCTTGGATTCTACTAGAATTACCTACTCTAGTACCATGACAGCTTCATTCCTTAAGGTGTGGAAATGTGGAATCCGCAAACAAGCTCGAAGTGGGAGCCGGATTCACATCCGAGCGCCTGGGGTTCGTGCCAAGACTTTGACCAGTGCCACACACCTTGCAGGCTTGTTTACGCATAGGAAGTCTCGAAGTAGGAGTTTTTGCCGCCGTTCCCTCTTACAGCCGAAGCTTCATGTCGGTAGACCCGAGAATACTGACGGCGTGCTTGGGAAACCCATGTAGCTGACTAGCGCCCTCAACAAAAACCCCCGTTCACCACCATATGACGGCTGTCGGCCTCTACCTGAGACAATGATCTTCCGGGTCCCGCTCTCATCGGATATACCCAGGCGGTTCAGGGGGCGGGAACGAATTCTATTCAGTGGATACCATCTGGGGTCATTGTTTGCTGGTTTAATTATACCTCATGGTTCGCATATGGGTCCATCATGAATATAAAAAGTGGCGAACAGTGCTCTTATCGATTATCAACATTCTCAAAAGACGGGAAGAAGACATAAGTTAGGGCAAGCTTAAACTGCTAAGTGACTACCTTGTGACGATAGCAAACTTCGGGCAGAAAACATTTCGCTCAAATTCATTAATCCTGCATCCTCTGATCTATGGGCTACAAGGGACCTTTTTCTGTCCAAGTACCAGGCCATTATCTGCGCACCCCCTCGAAAGAGCCTGGAGTCTGTCAAAGTCGGAGGAGCGAATGCAGCAGAACTAAGAGCCATTCATCAGCTACAAACACCATCTTAGTTTTCGCCACTAGATTGAACACTTACGCCAGGGGAAGGGAGGACTGCGCCTTTTACTGCATTGCAGAAATTGTTGCTCGGGGCTGGCTTTCCCTCCACTGTCATGCAGTAGTACGTCCCGTATTGTCCAGTTCCCTGCCTGTGTGTTGCGCAAAACGCGTTAGCATGCGCATGCAGGATCTAACGGATCTAGCGGATCTAGAGCCACGGAGATCTAGCCGGGTGGGGGAACGCTTACCCGAAGACAGTGGCTGTGAGAAACAACACGGTAGACATAAGGGTGGTTGAAGAGCGCATTTTGTATCTAATGCAAGTCAATAATGAATAGTCCGTAAGGATGCAATGTGATTTTTCTAGCAAGCTGAAATGCCGAAGACAAGTTGGGTTTCGGAAAGAACGGTTGATTGAAAATTGGAAGGTCGGAAATTGTTGACTACTTCTTAATAACACCAAAGAGTCTCTCATGCCGCGTTTATATGCCAATCCACAGATGGGTGAATCGTGTTCACCTTCACCCTGGAAACATTTTTTGACGACTATCGCGCGATTGTTTGAGTCCAGGTTCGATCTGCCCATCCATGCCACCCCGTAGAGCCCCTGAAGATATGGCCGGCGGGGAGGAGAGCCGCGAACATCTCGGCCGACTCTGAACGGGGCTGTCTAGGAGGTAGACGCAAGGTCTGAAAGGTGATCCCAAAACAGAAACCGCGATTCCAAAAATCGGAAGAACCTTTGCTCGCATAAGACCCTGAGTGCTCGGATGACGAAGACAGAAACCCGGTTCCAAGTGATCGGACCCGTGGCGGTGTCACGTGGCTACGCCATCTCCTTCCATTGTTCCATTGTCGACGGATTCAGAGAGTCAATTTCTTGATTAAACCCAATCCTCCCGGTCCAAGCGAGAACGAGCCGTGACGGAACAAGTTTGCCGTAGGCAACGTCGGGGATGGAAAGAGGCAGAACACGAGTCAGGTCTGGCTGGTAAGCCACCATCCTACCGTTGCATGGCGCGTTTGACTAAAACTCTATTCGTCGAGAGTTGACGGTATTTGTTCATCACCGCTTGGACATTCCGCGCACGCGCACGGCACTAGGATGCCACGTGCGGCAGCTATCTATGAGAGCGTGCGCAGGAATCCCTTAGATTTCCATACATGAGGAACAAGATCCGATTGATCCCGCTCCCCAAAGAGCAATGCTAAAGTTTCCCAATCAATGCCCATCTTTCCCTGTTGCCCCGTGCCGTTTCACAGATTTCCCCATCACCCCCTCCCGCCTTACCGGACTGAAGAGAGCACACCATTTTATCCTCTACAAGGACAAACGAGCAAGTGTCAACGGAAGCATCGACCAGTTTTCTCGTCGTCGTCAAGGGACCTCGAAACATTGATTCATCGCGGGCCTCCGCTTCGCCCTGTTTTCACTCACGCACCTCCGCTTCCGCTCGGCACATCTAGGATCGGCTTCTCCGGGCTGGAAACTAACAATAATTGTCTTAATGGGGCCTCAATAGCAATTCGCGACAGCACGCAGGAGCTGGAGCTATGGAGTTGAAACGCGTCGAGGCGGTGATGCGCCGCGTAAGCATCAATCATGAGGCGGAGCCTCTCGCCGGAAAGGTCGTCAGCATCATCGTCGCCATGATATCGGCCTGTCTCCTTGCTAGTCTTTTTGGTCAGTGCTTTCATGACAAACTCGACGTCGAACGTAATGTGCTAACATCTCGACAGTGATGAGATGGACATCAGTGAAGGACTGGAAGGCATTACCGTGGACGATGTGGCGTAAGGAGCCCTCGCGATCATACGCCTTTGTCCATGAGGTTTACTAACTTTCAAAGTGGTTGTACTCATCTACTTCTTCTCCTTTCTGTTTGTATTCGGCACTTCAATCCTACAATTTGGATTCGGAGCCGATCTAAACTTCGACACTTGTTCCGCCGCGACACTTTTCTGTTTGGGGGCATATGTG